TGGCGAACATGACTTCTGCGTTTACTGCGTACATGGAGCAAGTGCGAAGCTCGAACCCTTCTGTCCCGCTACCTGATTTCTCGCCTTTTCGTACCCCGACCTCCGCCCAAATGAATGGGCTACATGAATCGAATGAAGTGCGGCTCTCTGATCTATTTGTGTAATGAACAACCTCTTTAACTCTGTACTGGTTCTGGACATCTTCTGGCAATTTATTTGCCATTTCTACTTTTGTTTTGGCAGTGGTTTATCTGCCTGGACTGCTGTAACATAATAATGTTCTGTTTATTTGTGCTCTTTCATTTGCTCTATAATTTGCATGTGTGGTTCATAATTTGCTCTATAATTTGAATGTGTATTACATACTCTGTAATGTTTATCTTTTTTAACTACAGTATTATATGATTCCAGTTAAATGTTTTGTTTATAATGATTTGTAAAAAAAATGTACACCGTACATATGTACGGTATACCGTACATATGTACGGTGTACATTTTTTTTAAAATTAATTTTGGCACGGAAATTGTCCGTACCAAAAACCTAAATGAAATTTGGTAAAATATTTGGCACGAACTTATCCGCGCCAACAAACGGGTAAAGATTTGCCCTACCCGGTTTATTCCGGGCCAATATCCGTGCCAAGTTACATCCGAGCCAAACTTTAGGGGGAGTAATCAGTGTTGTTGTCTTTGAACTTCCGTGCCCAATGGCGAGCCAAGAGTTGGCGTGGATGATGATATCCGTGCCAACTCATTTGGCACGAGCCAAGTGCGTCGGATTTCATATCCGTTCCGAATCCGAGCCGAAAGCGATAGTCTGGGAATTTTGTGAAGCGATTTGTGCCAAAATCCGACCCAATAGCGACTTTTTTTGGTAGTGATAGGGGCATATCACGGCATCAAGAATGAGATTATCGTATGAAGAATTCGAATCGGTAAAGGCATGCGTCTCAGAGGTGAATAGGTGATAAAGCCTAAGGAAGATGATTAACTCCTCTGAAATTCCGTTCAATTCTGCCGGTGTGGTATCCAAAGTCCCCAGCCTATGGAGGGAAGTGGTAATTGTTTCTGGAGTTTTGCATGGTAAGGTTGAACAACCAATTTGTTGCAGAGATAGGGATAGTATAGGCATTGAAGGTTTTTGAGCGATAGGCTGAATCAAAACGCTTGCCTCACTAACGTTTATAATCAGGTCTAAACAGGACTACTTACATTATTAATGGCTGAATTTGAAAAAAACCAGCCTTTTATGGGCTGAAAATGCATGCCAAACATAGCCTTAATACATACCATTTTAGCTTTACAAGTGTCATGCTTTCCTTAAGAGAAAATTCGCTTATATAACATACGTAGTACTCTCTCCGTCCCATAAAATAGTTCTCACATTGACTTGGATCGGAGTTTAAGAAAGTGGGAATAAAGTGGAAATGTATGGTCGTGGTTGAGTAAGAAAAAAGTAAATGAATATGAGCCACACAAAACCTTCTAAAAAGGGAAATGAGAACTATTTTTTGGGACGACCCAAAAAGGAAACCGGGAACTATTTTGCGGGACGGAGGGAGTATTTGGTATGAGTTTTTGATTGAGAAAGACAAATGAGGTGCTCTTTTATACTCGATATTTTACTATTTCTTATTCTATCTTTTATATACTTTACGTAAATAATACTCCCTCCGTTTTTTAATAAACTTCACACTTTCCTTTTTGGGACGGTCTAAAATAAACTTCACACTTCCTTATTTCCTTTTTTGGCAAAGAAATCTACATCAAAACAGTGCCAAACAGTGCCCAACAGTGTCTCAACAGTGCCAAACAGTGTCTCTACAGTGCCAAACAGTGTCAAACAGTGCCTCAACAGTGTACTCTACAGTAAAGTCAAATTTCTTTCCTTATTTTGTGTGAAGTCAAACAGTGAAGATTAAAAAAAACCGGAGGTAGTAAATACGGAGTACAACATGATGAGATGGAGTATTAAGTTCATTTTTATTTTGGTGATAGAACTTCAAACCCGACTGAATCAAATCACTTCCAAAGAAACATAAATGGTCATATTAAACGATAGCAAAGATACAAGAGAATGAATAGCCTAAGGCTACAATGAGATGAGACATAGAACGGAACAAATCCAATGAATCCTTCCAGATAGCTAACCCCACAATAATGTAGTCTAGTTTAACAGCCTTGCTGCTCTTCTTGCTACTCTAAAGAGAAAATAAAAAATTACAGCTAAAAGATTTGGCTTCACCAGCCACCGGAAAGGGAGAATTGGTTTGACCAGCAACCAACAAAGGAAAATCAGTTGAGCAGAAATTTTTCTGAAACATCGGTTTGACCAGCCACCGAAAAGGAGATCCAAAAGGATCATCCAATTGTTCATCTTCTTCTTCCCATAGCGAAGCGGTGGTTCAGGTGGTGGGCGAGTATTTGAATCATCGGAACAACAAGGTTGAAAAAGCTTTACCAACCATGAACAACGAAAATTAACCAGACCGATCACACCGATTAGAAACACCCAAACTCTAGACATTGCTAGGAGAATAACATATCACACGCTCACATGAAGCGGACAAAATTCTCGGCCAATGAAGAAGCCGGACCAAAATCCTCGAAAATAGAGATTAAAAAAGAGCGGAAGCATTGAAAAACTTTTGATTCGATCTTTCATTGCATAGAGAATGTCATCATTTTTCAAAACTTTTTGCTGATTGAAAAAGAGAAGATCGAAAATCAAATCTTGAAGGAGGTTGGGGATGGCTGCCTAGGGTTTCCCCTAGGGCCGGCTCTCCAAAATGGCCGAAAGAACGGAATAGCTTCACTTCATTTTGGTACAATCTTTTCAAAACCAAACAAATCAAAATCCAATCGAAACTAAGGAGGTAAGGGTCAATTGAGTACATCAACTTGTATGAGGTGGAGTAAAGAATAACACACTATATTGCATTTGATCTTTTTAAGTACACCAATTCAAGTTTTTAGTGTTAATTGAGTACACCTGTTATATTAATACATTAATACGACTGAGTTGGCTTACAGAATGCTATTAAGTCGACTTCTTGAAAGTCGACGCCAAGACCCAACCACTTAATCGACTTCCCCTTGGTTGACGTCAGTCTCGCAGGTCGACTTCTCCTTGGTCAATGCACCCCTGCTGGCCGACGCCCCCGCAGGGCGACCTCCGAATGTCGATTTTCCCTTTTTGGTAAACTTCGTGAAGGTCGACGCCATAACCTTAGTCCATTGACCCTCCTTACTCAACATTCAATTAACCAACTCAGCTGTATTAACGTGTTAATCTAACAGGTGTACTCAATTAACATTATACCACCGAATTTGTGTACTTAAAAAGATCAAATGCAATATAGTGTACTCTTTACTCCACCTCATACAAGTTGGTGTACTCAATTGACACTTTTCTCCAAAACTAAGAAACATCGAACCGTTAACTAAATTGTGCACTCCTACCATGGAGGGCATACTTATAGGCGCAAATTCAAAAAAAGGGAAATTTCAATCAAATGAAAAGATAGAAATGGCTTGTTCTTGAGCGCCCCCGCAGGGCGACCTCCGAATGTCAATTTTCCCTTTTTGGTAAACTTCGTGTAGGTCGACGCCATAACCTTAGTCCATTGACCCTCCTTACTCAACATTCAATTAACCAACTCAGTTGTATTAACGTGTTAATCTAACAAGTGTACTCAATTAACATTATACCACCGAATTTGTGTACTTAAAAAGATCAAATGCAATATAGTGTACTCTTTACTCCACCTCATACAAGTTGGTGTACTCAATTGACACTTTTCTCCAAAACTAAGAAACATCGAACCGTTAACTAAATTGTGCACTCCTACCATGGAGGGCATACTTATTGGCGCAAATTCAAAAAAAGGGAAATTTCAATCAAATGGAAAGATAGAAATGGCTTGTTCTTGAGAGAATGACGGAAGGGTGTATGTTTTGGGAGAACCATTCCAAAAAGTGTAAAAACTTAAACAAGATAATAAATCGTGGGACCCTCAACAAAAAAAATCACTTCAATTTTAAAACATTTGTAACTTTTTCATTTTTTTTTCGGTTTTATATATAAAAAATATACCAAAATTCATAATTTTTTATGATCTTTCATATGACACCAATATCATCTATATAAAAAAATCGAACTAATGGAGTTTTTTGTACCTAAAATTTTGAGTAAGTAGATCCAAATACTAAAATTAAGATCAAATAATTGTTTTTACACTTGCTCACTCAACACCATTTTTGTAACCTAAACCCATTATTCAAATATTTTTTACGATTAATTATGATTTAAAACTCAAACATTCTCAATGTAAATTAAAATAATATGGAGTTTATTTCTTTTAATATTACTCCAAACCATTTTTTGGATAAAATAATTGAAAGATCTAAAAACATTAAGAACCCGTTTGGTGATCCTGTTTTTCGGCTTATCATGCAATTTTTTCACTAAACACGTAATTTTTTATTTCGCGCGCAGAGTTGTGTAATAATAAGAAAAAGTAAGTTTAGGCTGAAATTTCTGTAGAATACCATCTTAGCTATATTCTCATACAATGCTATCTTTATTTTATTAATAAAAATATTTTAAATTTAATATTTAAAAATAATTTAAAAAACCACCCAATCCAGCCATTTCAGCCAGAAATTCATAATTTTCAGCAGAATAAATTGATTTTGCCAATTTCAATGTTACCGTACAAGCTTTAACTGTGAGTTCTTAATTTTAATATTTCAATCTCAATTTTATCACTTGTAACTAAAAGAAATTTCAGATCCAAAAGGTTTTCAATTTTCTAAAATACTTTATATATACAATATTGATATCATATGAAAGATTATAAAAAGTTATGAAATTTGATATATTTTTTATAAAAAATGAAAAACAAATGAAAAAGTTACAAAGGTTTTAAAAAAAGAAGGGATTTATAATTTAAGTTGAGAAAATGATTTTCCAAAACTTACACTTTTTGGAATGGAATGTAAGAAACAAGCACTGAATTGTCAAACTTACTATTAATGAAAAAGAGATAATCACAATTAACAAACTTGTCTTTCATGTAATTAAAGAAATCAAAACTAGGGACCGATACTAACTTCTTCTTATATTAGTAGCTTAAGACAAATTTGGATATTGCAAAAGATATTGATGACTACTTTCTAGTGTTATCGCAAATAACATATATAGCTATCATATACTACGTATTACAATTGTTGTTAATTTTCTCTCCATAACTTAGAGCATCTTCAATGCTAAGACGTTAATGGTGCATACGTGACATGAGAAATAACAAATCAAAAAACAATAAATAGAATATCTCTCTCCTTATTTGAAATATCTTATATCATTTTAATAAGTTTTTTTTCACAATGTCGAGCACAATGTCTAGATGTAGACATTGTAGTTGACATTGCAGACAAAAACTTACTAAAAACACATAAGACCGTGGAAATAAGAGAGAAATGTCATAAAATCAATATTTTGTGTCTATATCTCTCATGCCACATGTGCATCGTGCACATTGCAGCAATGCAGCATTAGATATGTTGTTAACCACACTATCCACACATATTTTACCCTTTCACGTGCGCATCAAACTTTTGACAAAGGTATAAGGTATGGAGGGAGTATTTTATTCTTAGAAAGTGTGTTATTGTGATACCGCTCAATTTTAATCTTCATTATTGGAATGCCTAAACATTTTACTATCGTTAATAATAACGTAGAACAAATGAGAGATGGTTCTCTATGAGTGGACAGGAGAATGTATAATACCTTTGTTCATAGATCTCAGTTGTTTTTGTTTAACCTAAGTCAACCAAGAACCAACCCTGGAAAAGCTTATCTTAACTCTACAGTATCAAAAGAGTTGCTCCGTATAAAAGAGGTAACGCAATTACGCAAAAAAAAAAACAAAACAAATTATGCAAGACAAATTGATCTTAGCCAACCGTGACATCAACGAGCTCAAATTAGGAGCATTTGTTTGGGTTCGTTTTTGAGAAATACAGCCCGTACCTATTTCATTCCACTTGAAAGTTGAAACTCTAGGAACCAGTGATCAACACAACCATTGAGGTTGTGTTGATCATATACCTCATAATAGACCGAAACACTCCTTACATAAAATCGAACAACAAATGCATGCATGCGTGCCAACTTGATGCGTGTTGACCAGCGTCGACTCCACCAAGCAATTAAGCACACTTAGGCTGATCGGGCATAGGACTAACCATGTCTTCGGGCAAGCGTAGGGTTTGTGACTACCAACCTGGCAACCTTTATGCTGAGCATGAGTGACCATGATTAGGCCTGGACTCGGGCCGAGCGGCCCGAACCGGCACCATTCCGGCCCGGCCTGATGGCCCGGTCAATGACCGGTCCGGGCAGGCCCGACCCGCGCGGGTTCCGGTCCGGGCTCGTGTCCCCTAAATCCTGAACCAGCCCAGCCAGTTCGGCCCGGTTCCGGGCCTTTTTATTTTTTATTTTTTTCAATTTTTTTTGCTTTTCGGGTTGGGCTGGGTATTTTGGGCCGTTTGGGGTGGTTTGGGGGGGGGGGGGTTGGGGGTTAACTAGGAAAAGGAAAAAAAAAAAATTAACAAGGCCAGGCCCGGCCCGGAACCGGGGATTACCCGAGCCGGTTCCGGGCCCCCCATTCCAGAACCGCCAGCCCGAGTCCAGGCCTAACCATGATGTGTTGAAGATTCGGAATTGCGATTAGGCCGAACCATGTGGATGCTAGGTCCAATACAATATGACTACCATTGTATTTCAATTATTTTATTAAAATAATTATAGGCAAAACAAATTATTTGTAGAATAATTTTGAGAAGTATTTGTTTTATTTGCCAGCCGGTGCAAAAAGGCATCAGCAAAAACGTGTATGCAGGGAAGCGTCTCACCACATAGGTGTATAAAGAACAAGACTTTCCCAATCAAATTTTGACACGAGACCACTCAAAAATTGAACTCATAACCTCTTAATCGCACAGCAGAATCCGTCTTAAAAGGTGCTCCAAGGCTCTAAGGATGCTTTTACTTGGACTGTAATTTGCTAGTCTAGTCTGGTTTCTTTGTATTTTTATAACTATCCAAGTCTGGTCTGGTCTGATCTGGACTAATCTGGGACAAATTACAATCCAAGTAAAAACATCCTTAGGCTCCCCTTTGACTTTGATAACTACTAATGTCTGAAAACTAATCACTCAATATAAGTCTACCAGATTTGTAAGTGAAATATGAGAACTTTAGAGGACTTGACTTTCATCCTCCAATAAAACCAAAGCAATATTACTGTCATTAAATATACGGAACCTGTTTCACTGTTTGTAGAATGATTTTAATAACTGATGTTCAAACAATTAAGATGTTTTTACTTGGACCGTAATTTGCCCCAGACCAGACCAGACCAGTCCAAACCAGACCAGACCAGTTCAGACCAGACTTGGATAGTTATAAAAATACAAAGAAACCAGACCTTACCAGACCAGACCAGATCAGACCAGATCAGACCAGCAAATAATCACTCAATATAAGTCATCCTCCAACCAAATACACGCTTCTCCCTTTTCCATCTATTTATTCCAAAACCACTCAACAGGAAAAGGCTTAAGAATGCCAATCATCAACAGCTTAACTGATTATCTCCTCTATTTATACAAGTAAATGGCAGTAACATATTTGGTTCAAAAGAATGATGAGGGATTAGAATTTTAAAACCCAAAAAGAATTATGGAAAAGTAAAGTAAATGAAATAAATTTTGCAATTTAAATTAAATATAATAGCCATGCATATAGCAATAATAATGTAGCACAACATTGGAAAAAAACAGAGAAAAGAAACTGATAAAAAATGGCATGCAGCATAATTTTAAAGGGGGGGAAGTGAACAAAGTTACAGAAAAGTGACTCTGCTAAATTTGAGATATGAACGCTTCAGAGATATGAACACCCCCCCCCCCCCAAACAAATCAACACATTACTCTCCTTAAAATTCCTCTAATCCTTTGCTAAAAAAAATTCCTCTAATCAAACAAGGGCTTAAAGCGACTTGTTCAGAGTTCAGACCTAAAGTAAAGGCTCAACTATTTTTCCAAACACATAGTTGCTAATATATACCACGTGTATTACTAGGTTGTCGTGGACACTGTATCGACCGGTTGTTCCACAACACAGACATTACATTGCATGCATTCTAATAAAAAGTCATATACAAACAACCTACTTTTCCACCACCTGTCTATGGTATAAATGTCCAATATATTTTTTCCTATCTAATTTGTCTCCCCTAGAGACTATTATCAACACGTGGTTTTCTACTGCATATCTTAATGATCCAAGAGTAAACGTGATTTGTTCTATATAGCTATGAGTAAACAGGTCAACCCCCACTCATTCATAAACTAAATACAAGAGAGTTCAAAATTTTCAAGAAGGAATGCTAATGAGGGTTTGAAAAGTGATGAAAATATAAGCACCGTTGTGTTTCACCCTGATCTTATCCCAGAAGCTATCGCAAGAAAGATTGTAAAACGTCGAGGTGTGATCTTCAGCATGTGTTACTGCATAGCTACAAGAATTGCGAACTGTTTGTATTCTATAGGGTCCTTTTGGATGAAGGATTTTGAAGAGAAATGCTTTGGAGGGCTTGGGCAGTGTTTGCAAAAACTTAAAAGGTCGATTTTCATCATTTGGCATAAAAACAGAATTGGGTGTTTTCAAGTGACAACTTTTGCATAAATTTAACACTTAAAAGCTAAAAGATGAAAAGAGGTGGACGGACACTTTGAACTGCTTTTCACTTTTTATATTACACAAAATACACTTTTAACCGAAACACTACTAGCTTTTATTTTTCAAAAGCACTCATCTCTCAAACAATATCAAATTTTACTATTTTGACAATATCAAAGTAGAAGCAATCGAAAACACTCTCTTAGTCTATCTATACCTTGATAAATAGAATGTTCCTAAAAATGGATAAGATGTGATTGAAAGCTTTTACAATTACAAATTACTTTCCACTAAAAAAATCGTCAAACTTTCTATTTTATAAAACCTCAACAACTCCCCCCCCCTCTCTCTGTATTACTATATATATATATATACACACACACACACACACACATGCATGCACACATACACTAAGCCCTCTAAAGCATTTCTCCCCAAATCCCTATATCTGAATTTCAAACAGACGGTACACTGACCCAGTCGAATCCCTGGTCAGGTGGATATCTTAGGAGTACTAGGTAATTATAGAGTTAAATTATTGTAGAATGCAGACCAGTAGATAGACAAGCAAGTAAAGATAGATGATTACTGATTAGTACCTCCTTTTAAAGATGAGAATGTAGCCGTAAATATAAACGTAAGTAGATGAAATGATAATAATGATGATGATGATGATGATGATGATAACCATTTTAAGGATACAGAGGAGGATACAGATGTAGACAAACAGCAGAAACCTGTTTCACTTCTACTGCAATATTTCAAGAGGAATCCAGCCAAAAAGATTATATTAGTATTCCCATTCTTCTTTCTGGAAAAAATCGATAAAAGGTGGTATTCGGGACAAATTTTTATCATGAATACTTACCACACCTGGAAGGACCACTTAGTTTAACATTCTTAATCTTAACCTCACTTGAAAACCATGCTCAATCACTACAGCAGACATTTTCAGCCACTCAGCTTTACCATGCCATTTAGATTTGACCTTCATAGATTATCATGAGATTCTGAAGGATCATATCTGTCATCAAATTTATTGCGCGAAGTGGACACTGATTTATAATCATCGTATGATTCCCTTCCCCTCCGTCTTCCATGCTCAATTCTCTCTTTGTGAGGAGTGTTATAATTATGTGATTTCTGGTGTTTTTTACCGGAACTGTGAGAAAAATTTTCCTTGTATGATTCTCTGTCACCTTGCTTCCTCCTCAGACCTGTTTGCCAATTGGTATTGGTTCTATCTGGGCTTCTAGAATATTCCCTTGTGCTATGTCCATTTCTCCCAACACTTCTATCTGCAACCATAGTACTCTGAGAGTGGTTTGATCTATCTTTGGAAGAGCCACTTCTGAAATCTGATGACTGGGATTCGAGATGAGAGTGCGACTCCATCATGTAGTGATGTGGATGTTCCCTCGTTAAAGACGATTCCAATTGACTCTTATTGGAGTTTGCATCATTGTGTGCTTCTCCTTTTGTTAGGCAATCAACTCCACCAGCTTGCTTAATACTCTCCATATATTCCTCTATTATATCCCTCATTACCTAACACATGCAGATACCAAAGAAATATGATTCCAATTAAAAAATAGAAAACTAAAATCAAAATGGAAAACATTAAGAAATTTCCTGTCTCAAAGCCTGTCCAGTACCAGATGGTAACCTTATCCGGATTTCTGCTTAAACAGAATAATAAGAAGATTTAGCTGACTTGTTTATTTGGCAGAAGTAGATATCATCATCATCATCATTATCATCATCATCACCCCAGTGCTGCAAAGGCTCCCACCTATGGTGGGTTAAGGGGGGGTCGGATGTACAGTCTTACCCCTGTACTAAAGCAAAGCACAGAGAGATTGTTTCCGGATGACCCATAGTGAAAATCGCGTCGAAAATTGCATTGACTGACCGTTGCTTCATAACAATTTTTGGTTTTATCTATTTGGCAGAAGTAGATAAAACCAAAAATTTATCCTTCCGAAAATTCAGAAGATTCAGTCATTTCTTCAGCCAAATAACTCTTAATAAAGACAGGCCGTCACTCAAGGATTGGTAGATGCTTTAATTTTTGAATTGAAACTCCAAACTCTGATTTTCAAGATATAAAAAAGAGCAGTCTGGTGCACATTGGAGTCCTCACAAGGCGAGGATCCGGGGAAGGGTCCCACCAAAAGGGTGTATAGTGGGTAAGCCTTCCCTTTTAATTTTGACAAGAGGCCGCTCCCAAATCTTGAAAATGTGACCTCTTGGTCACACATCAACATCTTAATCGATTCTTTCAAGGCCCCCTTATCTGTTTTTCAAGGAAAAAACATTACAAAACGGTACTGAATGTCACCTGTGTTGTTGAACGCTTCAACTTCTTGCCACGATATGACATTCTTCTGCGCTTGTAATCCCTTTCCTCAGCTAGCAACTCCTCTCTTGTCTTTGTTTTATTTGTTTCCTGATATTAACATGTAGATTGAAATTAGTAACACAAAAAACATTCATTCCTTAATATTTTCTACTGACGTGATGATGCAGCTAACCGAAAGTTAAGAAATAAAGTACTCCCTCCGTATTTAAATGATGTCTACACTAGGGGTTGGCACAATATTTAAGGGAAAAATAGTAGGGGTAATGAATAGTGTAGAAAAAGTAGGAGAGAAGGTGGAAAAGTAGGAAAGAGAAGATAAAAGGTAGAAAAAGTAAGGGTAATTGAGTATTTTTAAAGGAAAAACTTACCAAAAAGAGAAAATGTAGCAAACTTTTAAATACATCCTTAAAAGGAAAGTGTATGGATCTTTTAAATACGGAGGGAGTAATAAACAATACCTAGTAATTACTTACCGCTCTATTATGAACTGGCTTGGATCTACAAAAAATATATTCCTTGGGGGTTCGGGATCTCAACAAAATCCTAATTTCACCAACAATTTTATGACCAAATGATGAGATAAACAAACCTTACATTTAACAGGTAGTTCATGATGTTTTCAGTATGTGACCGTTTATTCAATACACCCTACCTGATTGTGTGACCTATGCCAAGGAAGCCCATCGTGATCAATTAAAGCTTTATAATCGGGCCGCTTTTGTCTTTCCTCATCAGCTCTTCTTGCCATGTCTTCATGCTCAGCATTTCTAAAAGATGATTAGATCACAAGTTAATGCCTTGTGTGAAAGCAAAAGGTTCAGTTACCTGTTGAAGCTCACTGAGTAGCTGGACATAGGAAAATGATATATCAATATCGAATGTTAAAGATCATTATTCTTGTTACCATTAACCAAATTCACTACAGAAGAGGTCAACTAGATTCTAATCCTTATTCTTCTTGTCAAAGCAGTAAGGAAAATAACGGAGAACACATTTGGTTCTTTTACTTCTATGGTTTTATAATTTTCAAAGGGCAGCCAAATGTATTTACAAACTTAGAGCAATTAGGCAAGGCCATGTTGCTGAAATGGTTGAACCTCCTTGATTTTCTGAAAGGAAAACGTTGGGTAAAAAAATACTTATTATGCTGAGAATAAGCCACACTTTTGGCTACCAATGGGAGACTTGACCCAGAGACCACTGAGATGCCGAACATTTAAACTTCCATAAACACAAATCTATATTAGGCATATAATGTCGACAGAATGTCCAAATACTGCTAAATAGTTGTTCTACGCTGTCATTTGCAAGCACAGTTTCTGATGCTAATGCCATGTCAAAACAAACAAAAACTATTTTGCAGTTGTCAATATATAAACAGAGACGTCAACATACCTTTGGAATGCAGAAAGTTGCTGCACATTCTGTAACGCTCTTATCTTTCCTTCAAGTATTGATCTTTCGTGCAATGCAGCAACAGCTGCTGCTACTTGAGAAACAGAAATCATGATTTTACTCAGCCCTCCAGCTCCTACATTGTTTCCTTTGTTCTGCTTTGTACTTCTATTTGAATTGCTACTTACTTGTGGCTCCTCACTATCTTTGTTGACTATGTCTAATTTTGATATTTCTGTAGCTTCTGGAAGTCCAGAAAATAAAGAGTGCTCCAGTAATTCATCAAAGATGCATTTTGTTAAAATGTTAAATGCAAATAACCTACCGCTCGTTTCACCGTACAATATAGATAGATGGGAGGCCAACCACACTAATACTCTAGCTAATATTGGACAATCAAGCCTACATCCACTCAAAATTGATTCCTCACCCCCTTCCAGTTTCATATGTGCATTAGCTAACCCAATAGCTTCACTGAGAATAGCTTTCAAACACAGCTTCAATAAAATAACAATATGACTACTCATTGCAGGATCAATTACTATGCCGAATTTAGGCGAATTTGCAATCACCCATGTTGGCAAAGAGCACATACTGATCATTTCAAGCCGCAACATAGCCCGGACAACTCTGTAAGAATAGCTACATGGAAAGTCATTCCACGACTCAATTTCAGACCTAATAGCGTATATCTCGGAAGGAAGAAGCTCTGTATGGTCAATGGGAACCTTCTTCGGATCTATAGTGCTATTTTTCCCGAAGTTTGAGCATTCAGATAATAAGAAACTGGGCAGAGTAAGCATTGGAGGAGAGGAGTCCTTACTGGGGAAGCTTACAACTCCGGGACAGTCGGAGTATAAGAAACTATTCGGGTCAAAACCAGAGTAGTTTTCGAGGGAGAAGCATAGTTCGGCTTGGGGGTCGTGGAGAGACTGATTGAATTGGATATTGTTTCCCTCAGCAGAGGAGTGGAGACTGTGTGGGTACCGGCAGGCCTGAATTAGAGAATCCAATTCAGCAGACGATGACGACGGAAAGCAGTGGAGGCTGTGGTTGAATAGAGAGGGAGGCGGGAGGCGGTGGGTGGGGTTAAAAGGACATGGAATTAGAGCAGTCGCCGGAGAGGGAAAAGTAGTCGGAAGTATGCCGGAGAGAGAACTGAGAGTGGTTTTAGATAAGCGCAGAAGCGAATTGAGAGTGGAGAGAGCGGTCTGGACATCAGATGCCTCGGCAGTTGTTGTGGTGGCGGGGGGAGGGACGTGAAAGCCAGGAGGGAAGAAAAGGCGAGGCGTAAAATTGGTGGCTGACGGCGGCGGCGGCGGCGGGTGAAAGCCAGTAAAGGAAGGCTGTGCAGGTGGAAAAAGGTAAAAATTGCCGGGGTCAGGCGGCGGCAGGGGAGGAGCAGAAGGATTCATCTGAACCTCTATGGCTGCAAAACGCATGGAGTCGGGTTAATTTTAACTAAATTCTTACTCGCTCAGTCGCTCCCTCCGATTTGTTAACTAACTAATGGAGTCGGGTTAATTTTAACTTATGGAGTCGGGTTAATTTTAACTTATGGAGTCGGGTTAATTTTAACTAAAACTTTGCCATATTTCCTTTTTGAGACGTCCCTAAAATTTTTGCCACTTTTCCTTTTAATCATCTATTTGTGGTTTCTGCTATTTCTCTCTCATCTGCACAAATCTCAACCACACAATTTTTACTTTATTATTCTCCGTGACGTTCAACTTTGGCAAAGTTTTAAGGAACATAGATAGTATTAACTGGGACAAATTGGAGCGTACTGTTATTTGTTGTCTTTTATGTTGGACACTAAAATTTTAAATGAATCAAATTTTATATTTTTCTAATCATTTTGGGACACCCACCAAAGATTTTCACCTTGAAAGATATAAGTATTCATTTTTATATAACTTAATTCTTAGATTTAGAATATATAATTAGATGTTCCAATTATAAAGATCTATTATATATAATGTAATTGAATTCTTTAAAATTGTTAGATCAATTTAACAAATCGATATTTCTTAAAGTTCCATAAAAATCATATGAATGAAAAGTTCTAAATATATTTTTAAATTGTTGAATATAAGAAGTTATTAATTAAAATCAAATTGACAAAGTATATATTCTAAAACTTCAAATTAAATATTCCAAAATTATATAGGTAATTAAATTATTTTATTTTCACCAAAAAGGAAAGGAGATATAAGAACTCAAGATTTTTATTAAAGAAAGATAATCATAAGTGAGTGTCCAAAAATTACGCATTCTGGAACTTCAGTGTCCAACATGATATAGATATGTAACCATAGTGTCCAATTTGGTCAATTTAAAACCTTAGTGTCCAATATGAGATTCTCTTGAAACCATATTGTCCAATTTAAGTGTTATCCCATTTTACTTAACCAAAATACTGAGTGCGAAATTGGGATGGAATTTTAAATGGGAAAAGTACCCCTATAAAAGGGGCTTTTTCCTTCAATATTACCAAATTAAAGGTGATTTTAAAAAGGCTAAAGGGTCAAATAGGTACATGAACTAACTTGAAATGTTCAATTAGCCCCTTATATAGGAGGTTATGCCCGACCGTCGCCATTTGGGGCGGTTCCCGGTTGAATTTTTTGATAAAATTTTTTAAGCATCTTCTTCACTAAGTCTAGTTTACTCATATCAAATTTCAGCTAAAAATTAAATCGGGAAGACAGTCAAATGGTTTTTCGAAATGTACTGCGTTGTTCAACTGCACAGTTATCTTCAAAAAATCATTTAACTGCCTTCCTGGTTGAATTTTTAGCTGAAATTTGGTATGGGTAAACTAGACTTAATGAAGAAGATGCTCAAAAACTTTTATCAAAAAATTCCACCGGGAACCGCCCCAATTGGCGACGGCCGGACAGAACCTCCTATATAAGGGGCTAATTGAACACTTTAAGTTAGTTCATGTACCTATTTGACCCTTTAGCCTTTTAAAAATGTGACCATTTTTATAAAATGATAAAAATGTGATTAAGAAGATCAGATATTTGGAAAAATATGTCCTTGTATTTTTTATGTCACTGCTGAATCTTTATGTCACTATAGTATGTCACTATCAGATATTTATGTCACTTTTGAATCATTTATCGAGAGTCAACTTAAATCACTCTTAAACTCTTACTGTTTATATCAAAATTTTATAAAAGTTGAATTATTTTTTGCAGGCTTTGTAGCGGGTTTAATGTAGTTTTTGAATATGTAAATTTTATTTACTAAAAATAATCCGAGTTTTCACAGGGATCATTTAACTTTATCGTAGGTCAACCTTCGTAATCTGTAATTGGAACAACATTTAGGGACAGAGGGAGTACATACTATTTCCGATGGAAATTTTACAACTTTTTCCGGCGAAACTGTACACCACTGCCGCCGCCGACCACCATCGATCAACACCGATCACCACCGACCACATCTGGTGGCCCACTGCCCCATCGAATGGCCGTCGGCGCCTCTCGTGTGAAAAGTTGAAAACCATCATCTTGTACAACCGCTACACACACCCCGCCCACTTCCACCCAGGGGTGGCCCTGGGGGGGGGGGCAGGTGGGGCAGTGGCCCTAGGCCCAAAAAATTGAAATTTTTTTAGGCCCATAATTATTTCTTTATAGTATGCTTGAGTAGGCTGATTTTCAGCACAAAATTTTTAATTTTGTGCAGCCCAAAAGCCCCAAAAAAACACGGAGTAACTAAACTAACATCGTAACGCGCTAAGTTCAATCCCGTAAACTGAGTTCAGTTACTTCTGTAACCCTTCACCCCCACAGCTGTAAAGTCACGGAGGTCTTTAGGTGCACCTTCTGACCTTTTGAGTTCCGACCTTCTACTTCGGATGTTTGGCCATAAGCCATTACTATTGTTTTCCACTTGCAAAATTATACGTAGTAGTTTTTAACATTTTCTTTATTGATTATGTGATCAATTTTTAACAATTACCATTTTCTTTTATTAATTTATTTGAATAATACAAACATGTGGATATGTGACCTGCTTATTAATTGATAAATTGATTGAATTCATAGTTGTTTAATGTTTATAAATGATTATGAATAGTTGATTTTTAATTAGTTTAATTATTACGGAGTACCTGTTAATCACTTAATTGTTGATTATTACCTATTGATTGTTGGTGTTATAATTTATTCATTTTGTTAGGTAAAAATTTTCAATTTTCAATTATAATTAAACTATAAACTTATTTAATTTCAAAGTTTAATAAAAATGAGAGAATAAGGATGACAGAAAAAAATGAAGAAGAGAAGATTAGATAATGTTGTCATAAGTAAAAAAAGGTTCAATAGAAAAGTTTATTTTTATGAAGAAGACAAATTCAGAAGGTCCTCCCAAGAACTTTAAGGAGAAGAATGATTCAACAACCGAAAACGAAACAGTTAACAATGATCATGTCGTAAGAGGTCAGAATTTAGGAGTTGATAACATTGATAGTGAGCAACCAAAAAATGAATTGGATAGATCAAATGTATCAACGTCAATTGTTGGTCATTTGATTTTGGATATTTATGACCCTGCTGATTAGAATCTAGATGCCAAAACAAATGATATTGTAATTGAAAAAGGCCCTATAAAAGAGACGCAACTTAATTATCCTCTTAATGCTAAATGTAGACATTTCTCAAATGCATACTATACTAGAAACATGAAAATAAATAAAAATACACTTTAAATATTATTATTTTGCATGTAATTTAAAAAGAAACAGCTTTTACAATTTTTTTAAAATTTAGGCCCATTTTGAATTATTCGCCCCTAGGCCTTCAAATATACACGGCCGCCCTGCTTCCACCACCCCTCCCACACCCTAACCTTCTGCCATAACCAAACAACCGTCGCCAACCCTTCCCTCATTTCCATTTCCACTGCTCGAACCACCGCCCCCACCACTGAACATTAACTTTAAAAAATAAAGTTCAGCCACACAGATCCTAAGGAGAAGGACGGCGAACCGTCAAATAGAGGAAGAGGAGAAGAAAACGAGGAACACAATCAAATCTGTGGTGAAAAGGAACGGTAGCGATGAGCAACAGTGGAAGCGATCATGGTAGGGATGGATATGCTACTCAGCACGGTGAACAAGTTGGTTGCCATGGATCGGAAGGGAGGGACGGATATGGCTCTGGACTTCTGGACTTGAGTGGAAGGGAGCAGACGAGACAGATCTCTCTGGGAATGGAGCAGCATACGGACCGATTATTAGGGTCGATTAGTCACTTTTTGGTCAAATGTTGCATTTTTGTACCTAACTCTTAAATGAATCAAAGCAGTACCTAATCAGGGCCGGCCCTGACATATAGAAGGTCATGTGCAAAATTGAATATGAGGCCTTAAAATATATTTTTTGGAAGAATGAGGCCCATAAATATAAAACACTATATTAATATTTCCACCGTTTTTAAATAATAGATTCCTTAGGTTTTTTGTGGGTTTTAAGAAGAAAATAGTAGGTGTAATATAGAGGTGTAAGGTAAATGAAAAAGTAGAAAAGATAATATATTTAAAAAAGTAAAGTTATGACAAAGTATGAAAAAGAAAGTAGTTACAAGCTCGTTCCAAACTGTACGAGTGCTTTGCGCTAATTACTGTAACCAGGCCTTGTAATTAACAATTGCATTTTAATTACATAAAAATATTACTATTTAATGTTTGTATTTAAAAAAGTACTAAGTTGGTAAATTTTAATCAAATAAATAAAGATGTATTATATTATAAGACTATATTTAAAATAATTTTGGGCCTTCTGTAATCGAGAGGCCTTGTGCGGTAGCACTTCTTGCACGCCCTCATCTACGGCCCTAAGTACCTTAACTATATACTTAAATGTTTTAAATTAATATTTTATTCAAATTTACGACAAAAAAATCACACGTGACCGGCCAGAATTCTATGTGTAAAGTCTACTTCACCTTATTTTTGTCCATATGGCCACTATAGGATGACTGTACACATGAAATTATGATCACTGTGAAGGATTTTTTGGTCGAATATTTGAATAAAATCTCAATTCGAAGCATACATCTATAGTTAAGGTACTATTTTGATTCGTTTAAGAGTTAAAGTACCAAAATGCAACATTACCAATATTTAAGGTACCATTTATGCATTTGACTCGTCACTTTTTTGTCTAATTGAATTTTGTATTAGAATAATTCGCGGAAACATTGTCCTCAAGAAAGTATTTCCGACTAACGAAAACCTTTCCCCAAGATAAAACAAGCTCTTCGGCGTAAGCCGGTTACAGAACAACGAGAACACAAAACAAATACTATTAATCCAGCAAGAGTTTGAAAATATTATGTGAGGGAAATAGGAATTGTAGTTCGCATGTAATTATCACTACAATTAAAGTAAGACTAAAATTCTAAAAATTCTTATCATCCACTAAACAAGGCAGCCGACTAGTAGCTTTTATAT